TTCATTATGTCCCCATAGAGGAAATTCAAATAACATGTATAGAAAAGCTTAAGATTATCAATTATTTATCAACTTCGATGTTTCTCGGAGAGAAATTGACACAAAATTTCAGTTATAGTCTGTATACCTAAACCGGTAGAAACACTTGACTTTTTAATCACAAAACAAATCTACGTATATTTTACTATTAACAAGATGACATTTTTTAGTGTTATATCATTTTTCAATTGTGACTATGTGCATCATGTAGGTTTTCATGATTTAGGAGTACTTTGAAGAGACTTATCATTTATAAATTATTACTGTTGACATAATATATTTTCTCCGAGAAAAATCAGCTTTAAATTTTGAGTTATGAAAAATATACTTTTATTTTAATGGTATCTTAGAATATAAGCAATCAAAATATCTTTCTTAATGGAAATAATGGTATCATGCGAAGAAATATAGCTAAAAAAACATTACCTGTGCAGAGTTATAAGTCATTATCTCGAAATTTGTTTTCAAAATATTCATAGTATTAATAAGATTTACATGATGTATATAATCTTCAATTAAAAAACAATTTGATGTTTCCTCGTAAGAGACATAGTATTATTGATCTTTTCTAAAGATAATAAATACTAACTATTAATCAATAACAACATCATTTTAGGAACTTGGTTCATGGTTTATAATTTATGGTTTCATAAAGAATGCACCATATTTCTTGTTTCTTGCATATATTGCTGCTGAATTATGTGTACGTTTTGTATATGATTCAATATATATACTATTGAAAGAAAAACAAAGTATTTGGTCAGCATTTATTTCACCATTAGATAAATTAGAACAAACAAAATATTATGTTGCAAAATTACTTCGACGTAGATATTCTTCTTCTTCTCTAATAATAAATCAACAAAATACAATGACTAACAATCAAAATGATAAAGAACATAAATCGAAACAACAAAATGTAAATAAACAATCGAGTATAAAAAAATTTCTTGAATTTTTTTATAATTGGGATGATGATTTCCGTTATACAACAATAGCAACTTGTACTTATACAGTAGCTTTTGTTTTTCTCTATTATTTGGCATGTACATCTGTTTTTCTCTATATGTCACGAACAAAAGGACACATTACATTTATAAAATCTTATATTGAATACTCAGCAAATATAGGTAAGTAAATAGTTCATTTAAAAGTATTTATTTACTAGTTCTTTTTTCTCTAGAATTAAATGAAACATTTTCTTTCAAAAATGAAATAATATTAAGTACTATATTTACGACATTTGTATTCGGATTCCAATTACTCATTGGAATGAATAATTATAAAAGACATAGATTACAAATAAATAAAAATATTTATCTTGAAGTTCCACAACTAAAAATTTCTGAATTGGATTCAGTAGTATCAAAGTCTTTACGTTATTCTGGTTTTCTTATTGGATATATGGCATGGGGTTTTGTTATTTGTTTTCATTTGATACTTTTACTATTGATTAGTATACGAATTCTTTTATTCAAAATTCGTCATATTGAATTAATACTTGCGATAATTGTACCTGTTCTTATTATTTATGTATTAACAATGCTTAGCATGAAATCAATAGGAAAGTTTTTATTTATTCAAAATATAGATAAAAAACCTATGTTAAAATGTGGAAAGCTTTATGAAATATTTGCTTATTTTAGTTTTTTTGCTGGTATGATTTTTAAAAATACTTGTTTAATGAAATATTTATGTGGTTATTTAAAGATTGTTTTATTGGTATTGCATCATGTATTATTCGCTTAGTTCAAGCTACATTTTTGAATGTTATATATATGGCTCGAATTGATTATAGCTTTCTTGGACGACCATTGGAGAATCTAGGTAAGATATTCAGTCTAATTATTTTAAAGATACTTCATATTTCACTTATAAAAGATGTTGTACATACAATTAAATATCTAGTTAAAGAATGTTCGTTTACTATTAAAACTTAGTTAACCATGTACGTTCGTGGATATCTTCTGTCTAACAATAAAAATACGTGATCTTCAATGTTTCAATAATGAATAAATAGTAACTAAAGTAAAAAGATAACAAGCTTAATTAAATGATAGAGAACTCATATCCATGATATTTTCAAGTAAATTTTAATAGAAAAATTTGAACAATCACTGCATGAGAGTTATCTGATTTATCTTGACATCTCCAATTTCAGTCAACAACTGATGATCGTCTGGAAAAGTGTGCTTGACAATATATTATAGTGATATTTGTTTAAGAATTGAACTAATTTAATATTATATTCTATTAATGTTTCTTAAATAATGATTCCTTCGTTAAGAGAAAGATAATTTCGAAATGAAAATATCAGATGAATTCGAGGCTAAAAACAAATATCATCATTGTAAATCATCCCTATTGAGTTATTTTTCCATGTGATGATAGATTAACCTACTGGAATCGTAGGTTTTAGAAAAGTATTGTAACACTCAAATAGAATGAAAGGCAAGTCATTTCTGAGGATCATTTTCGAAAATATTCGTTAAGAATATAGCTGACTAGTCAATTACTGACTAAACTCCCCCTCCCCCTGCCCGAAATAGACGGTCATCCTATATTAGAAGGCCATGTACTAATTAATTAATATATTCTAAAATTATCGAAATTGTCATAAATATTAATTAATAATTAAAGAAATATAACCGATTTTTTAATGTTCTTTGTTGCGAAATCCTTCCTTTCCTATCATAAATAATAGAGTTTTTACAAAAAATAGTAGTTTTTTCAGCAAAAAACACCTAAAAACCAATAATTAAAATGATTAATTTTTTAAATGATTTTAATTAAAAACTGGTCAAAAACTGATCCCCAATAGATGGCCATCCAAAAAGTAGCGATGTCCCAAGACACTCTATAAGGGCATGCTCTTTTATTCTGGTGGGAGGTTAATTAAAATTTGTCTAAATATATGTTTAATTTCTCATATGATTATTTCAGATGTTGGCTTTGCTACTTACGTCTCATATTTACATGTTGAAAAACAATATTCAAATCCAATTGTGTTCGGTTCGTGTATCACACCAAAACATTCCCATTTAATTCTATTTTCATTTCTCTTAGCTTTCTGTAATTTACTTTTGGATGAGACTTATAGAAAACCAGGAAACTATGATAATGAAGAATCTTTCACACCTCGGTATGACTCTCATGTTAAAGGTAATTTTAAAGAACAAAAAGAATGCCAATTGACTGAGAGAAGAACGGAATCTCTTTTATTGACCCGCAAACTACAAAAAGACCCTGTTGGATCAACAAATTATATTAATCATAACACACATAAATGCAACCCGAGCACCATGTCTAATACGTCGTTACATTCAAAAAGTAATCATTCAGTATCTTTATCGATAAGTGAGAAGAGTTTGACAAAAGTAAAATATTGTTTAACAGATGATCTATCATCTATTTCAATCGCAGAAACCACGCAAAAATCAAAATTAAAAACTACATCTATTGTAAGAACAAAATTAAAAAATCATACTTTTCTTTTTTTTCTATTCATTTTTTCTTCTTAGACATTTGATAATAGTCAAGCTATTGATGGTAGTAAATGCAAATCTAGAAAGTTCACTATTTCTAATAATGAGATTAAAATACATACGAATGACAGTTCTGCAATACGACAATTTTTTGATACGGCTCAAGAACAATCGTATTCAACAACATTTTCACAATCATCAAAAATAAATATAGAGAATCAAGCAGATAAAGATAAAGATATTGATCTATCTCAACAAACAATAGTGACCACTGAAAAGAATAAACAAGCAATAGAAACAAAAAAAAAGAAATTACAACAAAACTCTATCAAGAAGAAAATTTCGAATAAATCAAACCAAGACATCTCAAACGCAATTAGTTCATCAGAAGATAATGACAGAGAAAGTATCGATCAAACTTCTAAATACATATCATTCAATAATACTCATCTAAATACTAATCAATCATTGAAACATCAACAAGAGACAACTTCAATATCACATGATACTATTGATCAAAGAATACCAAAAGTATCGAATATTATTCCAAATACACAAGTTAAGAAAATTACAACGAAACATCATGATCGTTCAATTTTAACAAAAGAACAATGTCCAACTCTTCGAGAAACAACTATCAATTCTTTAACATCAATTCCTCGAAGATCACGTAAAAACAATTTTTACTTTTTACTTTTGATATCACCTAATAATTTATCAGTAGGTATTTCAGAACAATCGAAAGATTCATTTTTATTATGTGATCAAAACAATACAAACGAGAACAATCATCATGATATTGTAATATCAACTAATAAAACTCAAACAGGAATTTTAAACCGTCCTCATTCAATCTTTGAATCAATGCCATTATTGTCTAGTCATTCAACTAGACCAATATCAGAACAAATACCAACAAAACAAAATAATATTGACAATATTACGGCTGTAAATAAAGAAGAGAGTAAAAAAATAGATCGAAGAAAAATAGCACGTAATCGATGGTATCTTGCTTACACAATTATTCGCAATTCTTATTTATTTGATCTAAGGAAAAATCTAAAAGAAAAATGTAACCGTTTATATTCACAATCAAATAAGTCCATGAATGAAACATTATTCCGAACGATGACTATTAATCGAGAAACAGAGCCTGTAAGTAATGTATTATTCAACACATCAAATATACAACGAAGAAAGTAAGTCATTATATCCTATATTAAATTTCTTAAAAGCTTCTGTCTCAATATGGAAATTTCAAACGACTTTGGTCACTTGTCTTCTTAAAATTGTATCTTCGATCTTTTATTCAGAGAAGGACTTTATCAAAGATATGTATATACCACTATTGAAAAGTTTCCCTTAAACTAATTCAAACATGTCATCAATTTAGGTATTGAATAATTATTTCTTATCGATCTATTTTTCAGAAATAAAATACCAGAGCCATATGAGCCGCAATCATCTACACATCATCCTAATTTATCATCTATGTCTAGTGATGATGAAGATCCAGCTAGTCCAGCTGAAGAATATGTTGCATTTTTCTTACAACAATCGTATATTTATGATATCGCTGAACATCAAACTTTAATGCAGAGTGCGCATACAGTACCACAAGAAAGCAGTGAGCTACCATCATTGCAACCTATATCTACTACAAATCAATCCATAACTGATAATCCACCAAAAACTAGTAAATTAATGAATTTCGATCAACATATGCAAGCATGGTATGAAAATGAAATAAGAAAGTTTCAAAACAAACAACCACATTGTTATATTTATACTTCAAAATACGACTATCATAAGTAAAAAGAAAATTCTTCTGCCGATGAAGAAAAACGATAAATTTAAACAGAATATCAATGGAATGACTTTTTTCAGTTCTAAGTATAATAAATGAAGCCTATAAAATACCATTCTCAATTAGATACGATAATTAATCAAGTAAAAATGTCGATAAAACACATATTTAAATGAGAATAATCATTATAAAACAAGAAACGTTTACATCCAATATTACACATATATTTCAGACTGAAACGATAAGGTTTAGAAAATAGGAATTCTTCTATATGTCTGTAATATAACTATCTTATGGTAGCTTTGATTATAATGGTGCAAATAACTGTGTAGAATAACAACAAAACGTATCTAAACATCAGTATTCAAATTAACCAAGGACTAGCATTCCAGGACTAAGAATGCAAAACTTCAACCGAAGATGCTGCTCAATGTAAAAATTATTATTATCATTAAGCTACTTCTAATTTAATAGAAATTTCGGAGTTTTACGTAGGCTGACTCGAAATTGGAAAAATCATGACCCCGTAGATATTCAACGCATTCATAATTCTAAATACTAAGAACAAGTTGAGATATAAAGCAAACAGGGATGGCCATTTACTATGCTGCACCCGTTTCATCTGTTTTTTTTTTCTGTTTGTGAAGGTTACACGGTCTTATCTTATTTTTCAGCACGATAGCCGAGTAAATATTTCCATTTCTTTCTTTCTTGGTGCTTACATCTAGATATCAATGACATTAAGAGACCTTATCATGATGCCTTAATTTCAAAAGAGATATATTGCTTTTAATATAAAATACATTGAGGACTCTGCACTTATTTGTTTTTTCATCGTGTTTTGGATGGTT